TCCCAGAATCCCCCAGCCAGCATAGCTGGCTGGGGGATTCTGGGAGTTGAAGTCCACAGGACTTAAAGTCACCAAGGTTGAGAAACACTGTCCTAAACACCAGCCATACTATTCGGCTCTCTGTCGAGCAATCGGCCTTAAGGCAGGTGAGTGTAAACCCCTGGCAGGCTGGCATGAGAGCAGTGTTGGAATAGGTGTGCCAGGCTTTTATCCTTCATAACCGCCCTGCCAGGTAGGATGGGGGAGTTCCCAGGTCACCCAGTGATCCGCATGGCTGGCGGGGGGGGGGGGATTTGAAGCTGGTCTTCCTGTGCCCTTCTGAATGCCAGCCTTGCAGAGTTTATTCCATACGTCAGCTGGTCCCAAGCGGACCTCACAGCCACAACGGGAGACAATTCAACAAACGCCCCCAACGCACAACCCCTCGGAGGCCATCGGTCAAAAGTGGGCAGTTGTCCGAAGGCTTTTTTCAGCCAGAGCAAATAAGGCCCAGGTGGGTGATAACTCCCACTGTGTGTCCCACCCAGCATGGCCATTGAGGGTGCTGCAGATGAGCTGGGATGGGAGTTGTAGTCCCGACACTTCTACAAGCCATCGTGTCGTTGGAGGGCTGCAATGATGGCTTGGAAGTTGGAGCCACCCTGGTTTTAAAATTCTCCCTTCTTCCCCCCAGTCTCTCTCGTTGGTGCTCAAGGCTCTTTTGATCACCAATGGGCAGGTGCCAAGGGGCAGTGCGTGGCCCTGCAGGGACAGGTGACTTTGGGGGGGGGGGAAGGAGGGTTATTGAAGCCGCAGAGACCTTGGGCTTATAAATAGCCCTGATTTTCACAACAGGCTTTCAAAATTAGCAGGTGTTAGAGAAAAGGCTGTGAAGGGGGCACTTAGACGTGAGAGGGAGGGGCCGTTAGCATGACTCCCAGAAGGCAGCTATTTTTAAAGGCTCCATCCCGTTCCTGGAGCACGGAGGGGAGGAGTGGCAGGGCAGGGCCCCATCCTGCAACCTCTTTCGAAGGTGAAGAGGGAAGAGGAGGGGGGAGTAGCCAGCTGTCCTCAGCCAGAGATGGACTCGGCAGATGGGCCAAAATGCCAAGTCCGGCCGAGCCCTCCGCGGATCCGGCTGCCGAGGGAATCCGGGACGGCTGGGATTTAACTCAAGCGCTGCGGGGGGCTGAGTAAAGGCAGAACTTTTTTTTTGGCTGAGCTCCGTGACATCACGGCAGATTAGCCAATAAGCTGGGGAGATTTGCAGGCGGGTTCAAAAGAGGTGGCGCTTCCAGAGGGCTTTGGAGGAAGAGGCCGAATTGGCTGGCATTTGGCTTCGAGGGGTCGAGGCTTCTGGCAGAAGCGGCTCTCGGAGGAAGGAAGGGTCCGGGGGTGGCTTTTTCCTTCCTCTTTGCCCTTCTGAGTGGCGGAGATCCTGCCACCTGGCCAGAGTGGGAAGGTGCCTGGCGGTCCTAATCCCTTGGGAGGGGTGGATCTGCCTGCAGGATTAACCTCAAGTGTCAGGAGAAGAAGCCGGGGCAGGAAGCTGAGGCTGGAGGCCCAGATGGCCAATCCCTCTTAAGACGGGCAGAGCAGCTGTCACACACCCCGGGGGGGGGGGGCTTCAAGGAGGCCCTCTGGCAGACGGGGGGGGGGGTCAGCTGGCGGGGGTCTCAGCTGTAGTAACCACTGCCACCCCTCCAGCCTCGCAGGCAGCCAGGCACAAGGAGACCCATGAATGCAGAAGATCCCATAAGCCAACCTCTATCTTGCCCTTCTTGTGACCGGGGGTGGGGGTCTTGCAAAGGGGAGTGGGGGTCTTAGCCTCTTCCTTGCTCAGGACCAACACCAAAGTGGAGGGTGCGATGGTGAAGGGCTCTGGGCCCTTCTGGGTGGGGTTGGGGGGGAGGCTGGGCTTTCAACCCCTCCCCTTGAATGAAACAGCTAGAGAGGAAATGGACAACACCCCCCCCCCCCACAAATCGCCTCTTGCATGGACGGGTAATGGGGGGGGGCGTTTTGCTTGCCTCTCTTTTCTCTTCCAGACAGTAATAGGCAAAAATTGGCTGCAAGACGGAATAAAAGTCCTTTTCAGAGTAAAAATCGCTCCTTTCAAGGTGCAAAATAAAATAGCTGGTAATGATGAAAAATGCCTCAGACTTCGGTTTTCTTTTCTTCTCCCCCCCCCCCCACTTTAGTGGTGCAGATCGGGGTGGGGGGGGGAGAACCTAGATTGAGATAATTATGTAGTAACGAACTCTTGTTGTGAAATTAGCATCTTAAGAAAGACACTGAAAGCGGCTTTTATTCCTGAATGCTTCATTAGTAGCAGGAAAAGGAGCTTGGCAGCTCCAGGCGCCTGTTCAACAGGAGCAGCCGCAGTGGATGTTTTGGGCTCCCCCCGGGCGCCCCCCCCTACTCCCGGCCTGCCTCCTGGCCCCCCCCGTGTGGGGTGCAAACCCTGTGCAGCCAGATCTGCTCCCCTGGGAAGGCATCGGGGCCTCTGATGCCGGCTTCTTCCCTCTGGCTGGGAAATGGGGAAGTTTTCCCTGCTTCCTCCAGAGGTTCAGGCAGATCCTTTTTCTCCGATGGGGGGGAGACGCGTCCGTCGTTTTCAGATTTCTGGCCAAGGCAGCAGCTTCTGGAGCCTCAGGATAGGGCCTCCTGGGGCCCCTCCCTGGCACAAGATGCCCCTCCTGGGTGAGAAAGAGCCGCTTGCTGGTGTCCCCTTTGCTCATTTAGCAGCCGGGGGGGGGGCCTTCAAGCCACCTCCCCCCCCCCCCCCCCCCCCCCCCCGTGCTGTCCATTGTGTGCAGGGAGAAGGACACCGGGCGAAATCTCTCTGACAGAACCATTAACCAGTTCACTCCAGTGTGAGGCGACAGAGTGGATGCCCCCATCCTGATTGGGAGTGAAGGGAGAAGATGCCCGGTGGGCAGAAATCTGGTAGCAGCTGAGAGAGAGAGAGAGAGGGAGGGAGGGAAGGAGAGGAGAGGAGAGGGAGAGGGAGGGAAGGAGGGAGGGAGAGGAGAGAGAGAATCTCCTGTCTGTTGTTTTTTCTCCACCATGTCTCCGTTTTTTAATGTCACCTGCAAACGGTGGGGGCATGCCCCTGCTGAGTGTCTCACCTGGCCAGGTGTGGGGGCTCTTGCTGAGCTGCTCTTGAACCCAGTCCCTGCCCTAATGTTGCCTCCATTCTGCCATCGGTCAAGGGCCAGCGCTCCCTGCCACTTCCTCCCGGGTGCCCGCTGCCCTTAAGGGAAGCTGGTGGCCTGGCTTTGCCACGCCGGCTGGGGAACTCTGGGAGTTGAAGTCCACCCGTGTGAAAGTAAAGAACCCTCTTGTGTGAAACTCCGGCCTTGGAGATGTTGATGGTCAATAGAAGCTTCGCTTGTCCGGAGTTGGGACCCTGCATGAAACTTTCTCCCCTGGCAGTTTGTGATGCCGTCGGAGGGTTTCCGGCTGAAGGACTGACCCCGTTGCTCTTCTCTGGGATTCCTTGCAGGGTCTTCTGGAGTGATGCCACCAGAGTCGCCTCGCCCTCTCTTCCGCCATGTTGGCCTGCCTGCAGAGGACCCAGAACCCCCCCAGGCAGCCTCTGGGTTGTCCGAATAAGGCCCTGGAGCCACGCAAGGGTGAGTCGCTCTGGGCTGGTGGCTGCAGCCAGGAGGGCAAAGGAGCCCCCTCCCCCTTGTCTTGGAGTGGTGGTCCCTGGCAGAGGAAGGGGCTCTTGGCATGAGTGCCACGGGGGGGGGAGGTGAGGAGGGGGCACCGTTAGGCCATCTGCCCTGTTGCAGTTCCCCTCCCTTCTAATTCCCACTCAAGCCCAGAAGTCTTTCGGCGGCCGTGGCTGAGAGGAGCCGGCCTTTAGCAGAAGCCGTAAAGGAGTTACCTTAAAGTAGGTCCCCAAAGGTCACCTGGCACCTGTTCCTGGCCTCCTTTGCCTCTCAATCCAAAGCTACGATTACATGTACGTTTAATGAGCCCGGTTTAGGCAGGAAGCATTGACCTCTTTGGCTATTAAGAGGCACATTTAAGGTTCTCAAGTCAGGATTGTGTGTTTTGAACAGGAGGGTGGGG